AACCATAAGGTCACCGGTTCGAATCGGCGTAGGGGTGGGCATCCTCGCCGTATACTCAGCCCACGTGCGACTGGTGGTGGTCGCGCGGCAGCGAAGCGCCGTTACGGCGTACAGCTGCCAGATTGTTATTATTATTATTGTTGTTATTATTATTATTACAGCGTCAAAAACGATAGTGCATCAGTTCACTGTGCTTATGCCCCATTACAGCACAATCAAAATTACTTCATACCTGGGGAATGAGAAGAGGGGCGAAGTAAAAACCGGTTTTAGAACCCACCTACCTTAAGTGGACTTTTAAGAGAAGGGTGCCCACACATTACCAAGGACGGCACGGCGAAAAGTGGGTGGTTGCCGTGTGAGGATTAGACCGCAGTGAGGAGACGGCCTCTTCACATTATCCACTGCCCAGTCGCATGACCAACGAGCCGAGCATCAGATACACTGATCAACTAGGCCTAGTAGGAGATGTTAACAAATGCGCCTGTGGCTGCAGGCCACATCATGTAAGCTCTGCATTCAACCACAAGGTTAGTTGCTTGATAGATCCTTGCTCGGAAGGTAAGATGGACAAACGACTTCAGTTCCCGCTACCCGTCTAACGAATTCCCCCCCCCCCCCCAACCTTACGCCATTAAGCAAGGCAAAGTTTTCGGTAGGCGATGGGCGGGTATGCGTAGCACTGCGCTGTCTTAATTGTTATCCTAGCAAACACCCCATGATTTCAGATGCGCTAGTATCACTCGACTTGAGCTAACGCACTTGGGATTGTTGAATTGAACAAGTCAAGTCTCACTTACGTAGTACAGAACGACTGTGGCCGTGCAAACACGAATTCTTGAAGACAGTTCTAGCCCTCACACTGCTTAACTATATGGACTATCTGGCTAGCCTCTCAGGGTTAGGCGTACTTTCACACTGCGATTTGTAGTCAGTAGACAACATGAACGGATTGTGCATGCTTTGGGCACTCAAATGCAGATTTTGCGGTTGGTCCAAAGCGATTCCCACCCACCTCTTCTCTTCATTTATAAGATCTGTACTGGAGTAGCGATCACCCGCCCATTGTCATTCGTTTCGAAGTGCAAAAGTGGAACGTGTTCAGCAGGTAGCAACCAGGCTCATCCCCTGCTTGCAGAGTATGCCGTACGAAGACCGATGCTGGAGGCTGGATCGGTACACCTTGTTGTATCGTCGGTTTCAACTGATCCTCATAATGACGCGCTGGATGTTACCTCTTGGTTGTTTACCTATGCTGGAGCAGCTACTGCACTTGCACGCACCAAGCAGCACTCGCGGGCACTGGATTTTAACGGGATAGCTCGCTCCCTATGCTTCCAGCGTCGGATGGTGAGCAGTCGTAAAAGATGTCACAACAGCCAATGTAAAATCGGTGTCGGAATTTAAAATATTCCTAGACTCCCACTCTGCTTACGGTACATCTCGAAAGCGCATCCCTTCTAAATAGTATGTTGCACAACTTAACCATGTTGAAAACGCGTGACAATACATGACGTTATTCCGCGAGTGTGCCCAACACCATTTCGGTGAAGCGTCACACATGTAAATCTACCAGCTTTTTTATTTCAGTATTAAGTATTTAGTTCACCTTTGTCTATCAGGTAGCCGACGATCGTGCAACTGCGCAATGAGTCCCGAAGGCGCGACTCGCATTGGACCACTCCAGTGGGTTTACTCATTGCTGAATTTGCACCATTTCGGTTGTTAAACAACACGACGATAGGGTCAGCGTAATCTATATCAACCAATATTCTGTCTAGGCACTCAATGCATCTGTCACGAGATCTTACTAGGGGACATTCTATGATTGATTCTAAGATGGCATGAGACAACTCTCATGAAGACCACTTGTCAAAGTAGCGCCTAACAGTTCACCGTCAGCTCTGGCGCGGTCTGCGTTGTTCTGAAGAATACACCAAATGTGCACATTCTTTATGGGAGTGTCCTTCTGGACAAATATATCTAATTGCACAAATCGATCAGATGACTGCACTGCGCTCACGAAATCGAGACACAGAGACTATCAGACTGTGGCACGTGTCATCTACCTCGAAACGCTACTATGACCGGCCCGTACTGCCATTAGCCTGGTCGAGAACCTTCCTGTTTTCTCATTCGGGTTTCCTTTCCCAGAGTAAGTCGATTAACTTTGATGGAGGCCAGTGTCTTTTACATTACTGGCTTCCAGTTTATACTTTTGTGGTTGGCACACACTCTTGATTATTGCCACTATCATCAGTTGACCTCAGTTGGACAAGGCTGTCTCATTCCATATCTGTTCAAATAGGTGGGTTAGGTCTTTGCAAAGGATCTGACTGCCGTCCTTAACAAGTGTGGACACGAGAGATCCGTACCGGTTTCATAAAAACGATTGTTTACTGCAGTTGCATCTTGAACGCCGCGCTAGTAGCAGCTAGTCTTTGTACTGACCGGACATGACTCGGTCTGTGTCACCTGAGCATGAAGCTGCTCAGGAGCAGAGTTCAACTTATTTACTATCAGACGTGCTCCAGTCAACGAGCCTGACGGCGTTACTTACCACACCTTTTAGCTCCGACGCTGTCCCGGATTATTTTTTCCGACTGATGGCTTCTTCGGGTCAGTGACATCGATTAGATGAGATAGTTTGCGACGGTTACTTATCTCCCCAGTCTCTCATGCCTTTCAGACTTCCTTTTAGCCTCCCAAGCTCCGTTGTGGCTTGCGCCAAACAACCCGTCTGATCGTAATAGCTACCAGTAAGGGTTCTTCCTGATTCCACTGTACAATTCACTGACAAGTCATAGTGTTACAAACAGAGGTATAACCGCAACAATTCTATTCCACTGAATCTCGGCGTCTTTGAAATGAGAAAGCAAAGTTTTAGCATGCTGGGTACTCTGGTTCGCTTGGTCAGCCACGATACGCGATATCTTCACGGTCGCTAGGCGGGAAGATCGTTTGCTGTATTTCCCTGAAAAATCTATTAAGATCGCCATCGTATTGGGGCAGTCAAGATTGGAACCATGTCACTGAGTACGAGGTGCTCTATTTGGGTGCATTGCTGATTGGCTGCCGGAGGTGTCACTTGGTATGTTGGCCTACGTTATTCCGTAAGACAGTGCCACCTACAAACTGCTATATGGCACCAGCACCACACTGCCGTACGCGATGAACTTCTGTTTTTTGGTGATTTTTGAATTTAAACCATCTTCTTAACTAAATAAATAAACAAACATTTCATTCCTCGACGGTGCGAGGCACAGACCAATTGAGTGCTCTGCTCAACTTCTACGTGATCGCATAACATTGTTAATTTTTCTTGTTTTGTACAAAGTTTCCTAGATGGGTTTTTGAAGTAAAAAATTGAACGTATTAGGGAGATTAAGAAACTGGGAATAATAACAGGTTGATTTAACCAAAAGTTCAAGTAGACTAATACGACCATCCATGGGACCTGCTCTCATGCGGCGTATTCTCTCGATGGGTTTCACCCGCACTTCCATGCTCCAAGTGGCTCTGTGCCGCTGCGGAAAAATCGTCAATGGACCATCACCTGTGTAACCAATATTCTTTTCATAAGGACTGTTTTGTGCATACATTATGGGCCATGAAGCCTCACCCCGTACCGTCATGCGGATTGAACAAGTATGGCACTTTTTGTTATAAGTCAGCTTCATGTAAGTTTTCTTTAAACAATTTATATCATCAGTGCATCTGAAACACTGATTATTCAAATCGAGTTCAGTATGTTATGTTGTTTGGAGCAGCTTATTCGCTCACGAATTAGATTGCTTTGTTTTCTCGATTTGGATTGTTCTATGTACAGCCACATACGACTTGCTCCGTTCAAACCGATCCGTGCCAGCATTTGCTGAATCTCTTACCGGATATTTGATGGCTGTCTGAATCTCTACGTATTCTATTCAAATCCCCTACTGCTCCTTTGTAATCAATGCACAGGCGAAACTACTTCTAATGCCGTAAGTTAGTCTGCAGAGTACCTTTGATAACTTCGTTGCTTGTTAACTGGAGTAAGTACTCTGTCCTCTGCTCGGTAGTAAGTTGAAATCCTCTGGATAGTGGGCGGCGCTGTATCACACCCAGTCACACCTAGTCACCTCGGTCGTTACTGTCCTCCGTAGCCCAATTGTTTTCCCCACGGACTCTTATCAGTCAGGTTGCAGGTTCTGGCCCAACAGGGCCAAGAGGAATGCGCGCTACTGACAATTCCCGAAAGAGTAAAACGGCTGCACAGCTTTTCCGGACGTATGTTTGCCGTATGACTGTGTCTAACTGTGATGAACATCTACCTAAATCATTCAAATCTCATCACTGTTGTAGTAAAATCCACCAAAGTCAAAAGTGACAGCAGTCGTTCGATCTCTGTTTACCGGGTTCTCGACCTACCTCTATCTCTCCATTCACATTACATATCTAAGCAAGCGGAGGCATAATCCCAACTGCCATCATCCATTTTTGTTTGCATGCAAGAAACAGTTGTTCGCTCACAGCTGTTTTTCCTTATTTCAGCGACGTTCGCTTTTTTTTGCTCCCACATTCACCAGTTTGCACGAACTTGTGCCAGTAATCAATTTCGGTACCTTACAGAGTACTATCCCACACTTTTTCGTCTTCGGTGCCGGATGCAGTAGAAATCTGCACGAATACACATTTCGCGTTGTTAATTTTTACGTTCAGCTGCCTTCTTTCGTATTTATTGAATAAAATCACTCTCATTGCCTTGGTATGTGGATCGCATGTTCACCTTTAGCCTGTGAACAGATTTGTTTCTACTGTGAATCGCACACTAATAAATCAGCAGTAGGTCCTCCCTCTTTGTACTCCTTAATTCCCGTCCATAGTACCCTCATACATTAAGCATCTATCATCTATTCCTTCTCTAAACGTTTTCTTTTATCTGACCCCACCCTGCAGTCAACGGGACTTCCACCCTCATCCCTCAGTATCCCCAACCGAGATTTGGGGTGTTGGGATTTATGTACTGTCTCAGTTCACTCCTGGCGGTTTCCTTAGTCGCCTTTCTCATAGTAGACGTAAGTCCTCGCGGGCTGGGGAGAGCTGTGACGCGTCACTATTTAAGCTCACTGAACCCCCCAGTCAAGCCGGAAGAGAATACCGGATACCCTAATGCGGAACTTTGGAATGCAGCCCACCCCAGCTCAAATGATCCGCTTGGAAGTCAATCTAGTCCCTTACCATCCGGAAAAGGTAAGCAACCTAAGGTGAATAGTGCCTCTATGCTTAGTTTACCTCTGAATCGCTGCCCCTTACATCCTTTTCCAACATTTCCCGGCATTATATATAGCTTTTTTGGCAACTCTTGACTGCTTGTGTTCATCTACATACTAAGTCAACGGTAGTTTAACTGTTCACATTTTTCCGACCAAGTAACTTTTCTTTCATTGCACGCGTCCACTTCTGATTGATGTTTCTGTTGACAAATGATACCTGTCTGTCATAGAAGGACACAACAAAACTACTGGCTTTCTGAGATCCAATCAGGCCACCCACATGTCTCTGACAGGCATGTATTTCTTCGTCATACATGGCGCATTTTTGGTACTTTGCTCTGTTTTTTTTTCTATGCGCTTTATCGGTCAGTGTTTGGAAGCAAGCTCGCTGTTACCGCACTAGAGTTTCTGTTTACCTCGGCTTGGTCATATTCTCCTTAGGCCTGTCTGTCGCCTAGTCATGCAGTGTATATCATCACTGAGCTCGGTCGAGTGAAAACGCGGTTGTCTAGCTTATAGCTTGGTCACGTTAACACGCGTTATCCTCCTGGATTGTGACCCCGGGATCGGCCACATCAGCAGTTAGAGTTAGAGTGCTCAACGTGCAATAGGCTCGGGTCCAGTTGCGACCGCACATTCATTCTCTTGCGTATAGATGTCTGCTCCAATCAGATTGTACTTATCCCCATACTACTTTCGTTCCTAGTGTTTTTCTTTACTTCATTCCTCATCATGGCTATACTGTTGGGCCAATTGAATGCTGGGATCGTAGTTGTTTGACAACACAGAACCAAACGACAAAATAATACTATCTGACAGATCACATTTTCTCATCAATGTGAACAAATATGCACTACTTGAAGTCTTCTCCAACTGGTGCCGTTCACCCAGTTTTTATTGCTTACTGATGTAAAGGTACTTGTTTGGTATTGAGACAACGTGATGCTAGCTGGACCAATACTGCACAGACAGATAAGAGGCTAGCTAAGAGCTGACCACAATCATACGGGCCAGAGAGGCAAGGTGGAATTGGTTCGACCTAGTGCGATTAAAACGCATTTTCGTTATTGACACGGGCAAAGCGGATTCACCCAAGCGGTACATGTGCGTCAGCGAGTCCCAGCTGACGGCTAGTCAACCGACCGGACGAAACCGACGCGACGTTAGCGAACAGAAAGCAAATTGGATGGAAATTGGGTGTTGTCCACCCGGAAACATTGCACAACCACGACGCGTTTCGATGCAATTTCATCTCATCAGGTGAAGATAGCAGGCCTCAAACCTGCAACCATTGGAATAGTAGCCGAAACCTTTACCCCTTTGGCTACCGGGTCATGGCGGGCAACGCAAATTGGATGCTGCTGACGCAGGTTGATCAGAATTGCACTGGCCAAGCGGACGGTAGAGGATTCGTGCGGCCAAACTCTGCGTGGCCGTAGACAGGACGGGAGTAGTTAGGAGCAAGCATACCAGATGGAGCCTTTAAATCGGCGGTTATCTTTTTTCTAAACAATACGATGAAATTACGGGTATCGCCAAATGATGTCATTTCGTGCACTCTGCTCCCAATAAAACGAGCAACATACTAAACGATCACTGAGGGAAAGAACCAATAGTTTTAATGCTGACAGCAAGAGGGAGTAGACACAGAACGTCACAAGGTACAGCAGAATCGGAAGTGATGAAAAACAACTATCACGGTCCCCACAGAAGCCTCAGTGTAACAGTCAACTGTTTTTTGTAACCGAAAGTCAGGATGATTGCGATTGATGGTCACAGCGTCGGTGAGCTTGAGCCTTTTGCTGTTTGTGTTGCGGTAGATAACCGTAAACGCGACGTCCGGGTCAACTTTATGTCCCGTAGTTAGTAAGTACATAGCAGTTGATGAGGCTGGCATTTTGGAGCTTGACGCAGGTCTTCATGTTTGACCTCTCGTAGTGACACTTTAAAAAAATATGCTCTCGGATCTACTTACGCAGACACCGACCTGTTCTGCCGATGTAACTGCTGTCGCATCTACAAGCAAGGTAATAAACACAACGTGTTGTGGCGGAGATCGGTTGTGTAAGCCCCACCAGAAGCGTTGATAACTTCTTGGTTGTGCAAAGTGGGATCAGTTTGGCAGCACTGAATGTCCGTTGAATTATTGTGGCTACACGTCGCTCGACTAGATTTGCCGCGGCATCCTTGAATGGGAACTGGGGATAGGTGGCCATTTTTTGTATTGTAGGGGACTTTTGTCTGTTCGCTTCCATCTGGCGGCCGTGGAGAGTAATAAAGGCTGCGTGGCTGACATCTGACCGCAGCGTCTGTGTAAGAAATAGCAGTCCGTACTCTAAGCATTCAGGATTGTAGATTCCACGAGTTCGTTGGAACAAGGTTTTGACGAGGCAGCGTTCATATCAGATAGCATGAAACTGCTGAAGTGTTCTTATAGTTATGTTCAAGTGGGTTTTCAGTAGGCAGATCGTCGTATGTAGCCATCTGCATTTCTTGTCAATAGCACATCTAAAAGGCGACAGTTGTTTTACACATGTAAAGGACATTCGGGTGCGCGTTGTTCATCGCCTCGAGAAGAGTTTCGACGGCATTGATGTTTGGGGCGCTCACCAATGTACCGACCCTTGGCCCTAAGGATCACAATCCTGCTTTGTAATTCGAAGGCACGGGTTCGAGCATGCGTAAGGACCGGGCGGCCCTCGCAGTATCCTTAGCTCGCGTGCGACTGGTGGTGGTTACGTGGCAGCAAAGCATCGGCACTGCATGCCGGCATACTGCTGACGTCATCAACGTACCGCTTGTAGAGGCACATCTGATCAAATTGTGATTCACTTGATTCCATCATTGCCATGATGTCTGCAGGCGTAGGGCCGAATTGACTTCCTGTATCAATGCGATCCAGCTGTCGGTAGGACTCAATAAGTGTCGCAATCCAATCACGCAACGTGTACTTCAAAATGACCCTGCAATCAAATAGTAACCGTTGGTCAAGCGTTTCCCGCTGTGACCCGGTAACCAATGGGGTAAAAATCTTGGCTACTACTCCAGTGGTTACGGATTCGAGGCCTGCTATGTTTACTTGATGAGATAAAACACGATCGAAACGCGTCGCAGTTGTGTAGTGTATTAGGGCGGGCAACACCCAATTTCATTCCGCTTCATCAGCGCATTGCACAACGATCATTTCAATGGGAACCCCAGTCAACACTGAGATCGCGTGTCGCAATCCAATCACGCAACGTGTAACACAAAATGGTCTTCTAACTGCGGATAGCGACCTCCGGTCGGTTATTGGCTGTTGACAAGATCATTTTGTGTTGCATTTCTTCGTTCACTGGAATTGTTTCGTGGAAATTTAGATACCATTCAGTTTTATTTCTGATTCTGAATTTTTCGACCATATAAATACTTGTGTTATCACCGCTTGGTTTCGGCGATCTTGCTATCGCCATTTTCTCCAGCATTTGGTCACCATCTTGTTTTCGGATTATTCAGAATGCCGAAGCAATCACTGTTCCAAAATAGTCGGATATCTTGCAAATGCCCTAACGTGTGTTTTATGTCAAGTTAAATACCACATTTCATGTGTGATTATCAGTTGAGCATTTTCAGCGTCTACGTTAAATCCAACACGATTTCGTTCAAACTATATTAAAATTGCCGAAACAAGTTACAGCCAGAAAGAGTAAAGCCGAGTAAAGCCTTCATCATTCCGTTCCGATCAGCTCCGTGTTTAGCTCGACAAACTAGCCCGAAGAGCCTTCAGATTTCAGCTCAATCTTCCTCCTCTTCCCGTGCAGACTCAACGGCACAGAGTCCAAACGCTGGGAGAAGCGCAGTTTCGCCTGGCATAAATTGTTTATCTTTGTTGCCTCCCAAGAGCACTGATTTCCCAGTAGGTGAAAGCCTGAGTGCTGAGGACCAGTGGAAAGGACAAATTATGAAAGAATATTGGGCGTTTAACTTCTCTAAGTCAACAGTCAGCTAAACCACGTGAGGCTCGTAATCTAGTTCGCCCTGCAAAATCAACCTCGTCCGACTAGGAGTCACAACCTCGTGATCTTCCACGCGCCGAAGTCCATCGATCCATCACCCCAAGTGCGCTACGATCACATGTAGAGTTTTCACAGAGTCTAATCGACAGACTATTTGACGCTAGTGAGGACTCGGTAAAAGTGAGGCAAATTGCCCTTCTTGGAAAGCCAATTGATCAACAAAATCGGCCTATGCGAATCCATTTTGTGGACGAGGCCAGTCCAAGACTGATCTTGTCCCGCCTAAGTAGACTTAAAGGTTTGAAGATCCATGTTCGTTCAAACCTGAACCCAGTAAATCGGGAATGGCTTAAGTCTGCCATCATTCAGCAGAAATGAGGTACTGGCGAGGAGGAAACAAATCTCCGTATCGTGAATCAGAATAAACGGGATCAGGTTTCTCACACTTCAAGCACGTGCGACGGTTCCTGCTGTGGCCTACGTGTAGTCTTTACCAACGTTTACAGTATTATGAACAAGCGCGATGGGCTTTATCGTTTCGTTGCGTCTGAGCGGCCAAACGTAGTGGGACATGCAGACATGGCTGCATTCAGAGGTATACACCCAGGAAATTGAACTCAGCAGTTACTCGTGCTACCGTCGCGATAGACTAACGAATGCCTGCGGTGACGTCTTGCTCTACATCCGGTCTTCCCTGCGTGATAGATTTTCGAGCAGCTACCGAAGTGACGATGGTTTGTGTGAGCTACAGTGCTGCTCCATCCACCTCAGGCGCGGAGAATTACCTGTGGGCGCAATCTATCTCAGCCCCTTGAGTCGTTGTTTGGATTGGCTACCACATCTTCGAACCCACATGAGTCGTCCACAATTTCTACCTATGAGCGATTTTAACTCTCCTCAACTACGATGGCCTGATGTGCATTTGATGACTGCATGTGCTGAGGTTGAAGCAAGCTTCATGCATTTCTAACTTGAAATTGTT